CCTCCTCCTCCTCCTCCTCCTCCTCCTCCTCCTCCCCTTCCTCCTCCTCCTCCCCCTCCTCCTCCTTGTTTACCTCCTCGTTATTCCATACCTCCCTGCCGCCCTCCAAAAAAACGTCGGCAAGCCCGAGTTCCGACTACTTCGAGCCTTACACTTCCTCGGCCCACCTCGGGAAGTCGAATCGGCTCGAAATGGGCGGGCCGCATCGCATCGCCAGAACACCGGAATCGAATCGGGTCGAAGCGGCCAGGATCTACATCGAAACGGATCGGTCTGATCGAACAGGTGGGCAGGCAGACAGGCAAGAGCGGTCAACATATAATCGACTAGTCAGACCCCGTCGGAACAAGCATCGAATGTTCTCCCCGGCACGGTTCTGGCGTAGGCGAAGTGCGGAAACTACCTCGAATCTCTAGGCTGCGCCCACGCCCAGCGTTTCCTGCCATGTTGCATGTCGGTACGCCGGCATTTGCAGCGCATGGATGTCACAGAACGGAGCATGTGATCGCGAGGGTGGCACGACGGCTCGGACACAAAAAAGTGGCATGCTTCCCAACGCGGGCTCTTTTGCACCCCCGATGCGCAGCGCGCGCGGTGCAAAACTGCGGGAGACAGCCCGTGTAGAGTAAGCTGCGTAGGGAAAGCTACTTGGTGTAAGCTACGAGATGGAGTCTGTGCGGCGCCATCTTTGGGGTGCAATCAACGGGGCGCAAGCTATGTTCGGCAGCGAACGGGGCTGGATAAGGCCCTTTGAAAAGGCGGCGGGGCTTCTCAGAAGCCCTCCAACCCACTGGAAGGTTTTATCCTCGACACACAGACAGCAGCCATACGCCCGAGGCGCGTCGGCAAGCGCACATGCAAACACTACCTTTACCGCTCTCTCTGTCGACGTCTCCAACCATGAGAATCGTGAACAAGATTTTACAAACTGTCACTTTTTTTCCGCATGCACGGCACGCATGTGGCCCCAGGAATTTCGCCCGCTCGAACCGTGGCGCCCCCACCCTCCTCACGAAGGCACCCGTGATCAGCGTCATGGTCCCAGGGATGAAAACGGAATCCCGGAGAGGATTTCCTTTTGAACCACGCACCGTCTTGCCATGTAAAACGAGCTGGTGCTTCAACAGGATGGACGTCAACGGGGCCTGGCCCGTGAGTGCCCGTATCGGGTCGTTCGACACACGTGAAATCATCGGGTGTCTGGCGCCGCACAAAATTTTAAGCATTCTGCAACGCGCCCCGTCCAGTCTCCTTCTCTCCGCAGCGTTCAGCACGACAGAACACAAGCTGTATAGAAGCTTCGAAATGATGACGACGTTGAAAAGTTCGACCTTCCCTGCCGCGCCGATGTTCGAGTCGCCCTATCAATTCTTCAGCTTGCGAAAGTCGGCGAACGCCATCCCCCAAGTCTCCTGGTCATCTCGCCATCCGCTCTTCCGCCGTTGTTCAAGGTGGTGCCGAGATACGGTGAGGTGTCCTTGGCTGTACCTACCCTCGCCCTGCGGCGTCCTGACATCTCCGTGGCACCGGCCTCTGAGAAGCTGCAAGCTGCCCCAGGGCACCTCCAGCCCCACTGTGCCAGCTGCAATTTGGACCACGTTGAGCCACGTCTCCGTGTCGCCGGTGGTCCTTGCCATCAGCAGTGTGTCGCGTCTACCCTCGAGGAAGACTGGCACGACTCCTCGGACGGCCGGGAAACTGCCAAGCCCTCTGAGAAGACCCGCACCCTCTCATGCCCCCCCCTGGGCTCGCCATCCTTGTGTGGTGAAATCGATGCGCTGCCATAAACATGGTGCAATCCATGTAGCGCAATCTACGTGTGCACCCGGACATCCGCGTCAACAAGGGCTCCCAGCTTCGCGCTTCGCGCCGCGCGAAGCGCGGAGTGCGGATAGCTCCGCGCTCTCGCGCCGCCTCCCAAGGGAGAAGAGGAGGATGAGGAGGAATCGGAGCCGAACCGCGAAGCGCAAATAACTTCGCGCCCTCAAGGACGCCCTTGGTCCTCCGTCCTCCGCAGCAGGCGCCAGGCGTCGGGCCACCGGCCGCCCCAGTCGCAGGCGCTGATGCTGGCGTTGAGGCTGACCACGTCGGGGCGCAGGCGCGCCCGCTCGATGCCCTCGAGGAGGCCCAGGGCCAGGTCCGCGCGGCCGCCCTTGGCGCAGGCGCTGATCGCCAGAAGGAACAAGAAGCGCCGTGAGCACACACCCATCGGCGCTCGCGCCCGCGGCGGCGCTCGCGGCGAACATGAGGCGGGCGCGGGGCGGGCCACCGGCGCACAGCCTTCAGTGCCGGCCGGCGCACGGGGGGCGGGCACGCGGCGGGCCCCGGGCCGAAGGAAAACGAGCGACGGCCAGCCGATGACTTCGACCGGCGGCATGAGCCCCTGAGTGCAGGCACTGTTCGGGGGAAACAGCAAGGAGGAGGGGGAGGGGGAGGGGGGGGGAGGGGGAGGGGAGGGAGGAGGAGGAGGAGAGGAGGAGGAGGAGGAGGAGGAGGGAGGAGGAGGAGGAAGAGGAGGAGGAGGAGGAGAGAGGGGGAGGAGGAGCAGGAGGAGGAGCAGGAGGAGGAGGAGGAGGACGAGTCGGAAGCAGGCTGCGCGACAGGAGGTGACGTGTCCCCGCGCCGCGAAGCTGCGCTCGGCAGTCTCGGCGCCCCTCACGAGGAGGAGGAGAAGGAGGAGGAGGAGGAGGACTGGACTGGACTGGAACGCTTACGACCCTGATGAGTACCACTGTCGTGCGATGCTTAGCAAACGAGCACGAGATATGTAAAAAGGATCTGCGGATAGCACGGGGCTATAGCCTGCAGCCTCGCTGGGGGGAAGCCTCTGGCCCAGAGCAGGACCGTCCGTCCAAAGGGGAACGGCCCGTGACGGTCTACATGGGCACCATCCTCCCAGCGGCAGGCTCGCAATTAGAAGAGAGTCGAAAGTCTCCCCCAATTCAATCCTAGGCCACGGCCCAGCAACGACACGACAAGGGAACGGCGGGGAACGACGGGCGGGGAGGAACAGGACACCGCCAACACACGCAGACACACACCCACACACACACGCACAAGGCCAGGAGAAGGAGGAGAGCAGGCAGCAGCAGAAGCCGCGGGAGAGAGGAAAGGAGGGAGAGAGGGCAGCAGGCAGCGGAGGGGGCCGTGGCGTTAAGTGCGAAACTCAGTCTGAACCTCTATGTTCAGTGACGGTGGTGGTGGAGGGGGAGGAGGAGCAAGCAGCGCACTCGAGGCACGCGCATCAGCAGAGAACGAGGAAGAGTCGAGGTCAGTGGAAACAGTCCTGACCTGGGCAGCTCTCTGGAGAGCCTGAATCACCGTCAACTGAAACTCTAACGGCTCCTGGTAATAAGCCTTGAATCTTACATTCCCTGAAACATATTATAAAATAGGGGCCGTTGATTTCTCTTGCAATTTGGCCAACTGGAAATGTCCTATGTGGCCTCCTTGGGCCAGTTCAAGCATTCTTATTGACTGATTAATCGACGACAGACGAGCAGGCTGCCTAATCCTCGAAGTGCGTGTGAATGGTTTCGTCGGTGCCGTCGCAGCAGGAGGTGTCGCCGCCGTAGCTAGATCCAATCTCTGAACCAAGGAAGATGCCTTCGCAGCAATAGGTGTCGCCACCGTAGCAAACTCCAATCTCTGAACCAAGGAACCGATCTCTGAACCAATCTCTGCATTGATACTGTCACCCTCTAATCTGCCAAATGCTTCTGAATCCCTTCCTGAGCCATCCCGAACTTGGCCAGCAGACGCTCTGCGTCCCTCTCCAGCGCTCCCTTGGGAGCAGCTCCTGCCTTCAACTTCCCTTTCTCCTGGCCGATGCAGATGTGCAATGCTGAGTGGATCGTCATCAGTGCTGAGCCGTCGACCGTGACCACCTGACTCTGGATGAATGGGCTCATCATGAACTGTAACTTGCACGTGTCCGCCTCCTTCTTGCCGCCCTTTTTGTCGAACCAGCACGCCCTGATGCGACAATAGCGCACGTGGTCCGATAGTGTCCGAAGGGTCTCCGCTTTGTCCTCCTTGATCGTCTGCGACCAGTAGTGCTTGAGTACTGCCAGCGCCTGCTTCACCGCTGGTTCTTGACTGCCCGCCAGCGTTGCCAGGAAGTGGGTAACTAGCGCCATGAATATGTGGGGCCATGGAGGCCCGTTGTCGTGCTGCTTGCCCTGCTCCTTGCAGTCCATCGCGTAGTCTTGGCCAGCTGTCTTCATCACTCCCACGAGGCCTGCGGTGGCTGGCAGGAGGAAACAGGTGAACGTAGCGCCCGTGATTTCCGCGAGGTCTCTGGCATTCGTGAGCGAAAGCCTGCACAAGACCGCGAGCAGGGCCGCCATGATGCCACCCTCCTTGCCTTTGAGCTCCTGGCGAGCCTGATGGACGACCTGCTGCTCCAGCCGCTGTCTTTGGTTGTCCCCGCCTGTGGCCTGGCTGGCCTTGCGCTTGTTGCCGAGCTGCCAGGCTGGGGCGCTGGCCATTGTCACCACCGTCGAATAGTAGCGGTAGCCTTGTAAAGTGCGAACGAATATGTCGTGAAAGATGAGAAGGGTCGGAAACTTGAACCTCACACAACGGACAATCCGAAGATAAAGGTGTAGGTGTTCGGAATGTCGTGCTGAGATTCACCATACATACTCCACTCTGAAAAGAATCCACCACATGTTTGTAAGCTGAATTTCGTGACTCAAACACGCTGTTGCACACAAAGCACTGGTTGTTAACCACGGCGGTCCCCAGGATCGATTTAAGGCCATGATAATTGTGTAAGTGAACAAGGACCTGGCGTTTACTCTGAAACCTTCTGAGGCACCCGTGAACTGGACAACCGTACTCCCCAACATCTTGCTGCGCTTCGGGGTCCTCTGGAGCCTCTGATGGCGGGGTCCACGACGGAGGAGGGATGCGAACCGATGATAAGTACGCGGCCCTGATCTTTTTTGTGTCGAAGAGCGCGAACCAATCGATCAGCTCAGGTTCAGAAAAAAAGATGAAGAGGCTGCCCATCGAACTGCTGCACCATACTGTATTCGTCGTCCCCGAGCTCTGCAAGCGATGAGATGTCATCAACAAATCTGCGAGCCCAGGGACATGCAGCCTGAGTGAGCCGAGCATCGTCGCCCACAATCGGCAACTCGTTAGCGAGCTCGACCCGCATGCTGCCTAGTAATGCTCCCCATTCTGCGATGTGTTGTTTAGGATTCCTCACCCACCTTTGATACCACCTGATCCTCCTTGCTCTGAGCTCATGTTCTACTGGGGCCATCTGCCAAAAACGGTAAACCTGCATGTTGGAAATCGAGACCTCGTGCCCATCCTTCTCGTATGTTGCTCCTCCCCTCATCGCCCTCCGTGCATAATGTAGTACTCTTGCTTGTAATTTGTCTAGGTGCGCTTGTGTAGGTAGGAATGCTTCTACTCCAGAAACTGCTGGCCCTAGAACCCGAGAAAGAAATACAGCTCGTTTCTCGACTGGGGAAACGCCATACTGATACCAATATCTGTCCATGCTGTGAAATCCAGCGCCGATAGCTGCAAGCCTAGCCGAGAGCTCGCTGTTAAATGTGCAATCTGCTCGCACGAGGCCCCCCAGCATCTTGGCGAGGTCGCTGGGCTCCCCAGCTGTCAGGAAAGCTTTGGCCTTAAATCTCGAGCGGCCTGCCTGCGAGCCTTCTCCAAAAAGAGCCAGCACCGTCTCATTCTTCGCGGGGTTGAGGAGGTAGTTGTGTGCGAGGAGCTGCTCAGAGAGGAGAGTGTTGCAGGACATCGATTTAAAGCTGAGCTCCATATGAGACGCGGTGCCATGCAAGCCAGAAATCAGTGTCTTTGCAGCGGCGTCAACATACGTGTGAAACGAGAGGTCGAGCTCGATGGGTTCCCCATCTTCCTCATCTTGCGGCAAATCAACAATGCACCAATCAGAAGTATCATCAGTGCCCTCGATAAATTTGTCCTGGGCCTGTTCAAAAACGATGTCGATGTCCCTGGTAAATACTTTTACAGCCCACGGGTCCCCCTGGAGTGCTCCCACATGAGGCTTGGCGAAGAGGACCCCGTCGGGACCTTGGAAGGCGACCGCTGATATTCTAAAACGTTGTTCACCGAATCGGACCTCTTGAGGTTTCATGATGGCCTCGTTGGTGCTTGAGAGGTGAGTCCAGTCGGTGCTGCCGAAGGCATTCGTGATGTCCTCATGATCTCTAATATGCTGCAAACCTAGGCGCCTGAGACGCCAGCTCAAGCTCTGCTGGATCATCATGGCCGTCTCCCGTCTTCGGCCAGCCACGCAGCCGTGAGCAAAGAGAGGCTCCCGATCCCTCTGGTCAGGTCTGAGACCTGTGGCAATAAAAGCCTTGCCGAACGGGCACAGCGCGTGCACAAGCCGCTTAAAGTTGATGGCGAGACCCTGGGATAAGTGCCAAACTACTGGTGTTTGCCCAGAGCGATACACTCGATGGAGAAATACTTTCAGATAATATCTAGTCCACTTCTGGTCGACAGATGGAGCCTCGTATCCTAGCCCACGAAACCTCTTGGAGATCCTTCTGTAGGGGTGCAAGAGCATCCAGAAGAGCTCTAGTGGAAGTGACCACGGAGGGGCTGCGCGTCTTTTACTAGCCTTCCGAAGGTATCTGGATATAAGTTGGAGCTTCTCCGTGGCCCACTGGAGGCCGTCCTCGCTGAAGGGGAACAGGAACTGCTCGGCTTCTAGCCCAAATTCTGGATGGTACAAGAAATCCTCGGTCTCCTGGAACCAGTCAATGATAGTAGCTTCCAAACCACCCTGACTAGAAGGCAACTGGAGGCGGGCCTTGAGGTCCTCGGAGCAGGGAACAGCAGCAGCAGCTTGTTTGTAATTACGCTTCTTGGGGCCCGTGCCCCTGGCTGATAAAAGGCGAGACAGCCGAGCAACTTCTGCTTTGCGATCCTTCTGGTGGGCCATCACCAGCTCGTCGGTAATGTCCTGACGCCACAGTGCAAGGTAACGTCTGCGTAGCCGTCTGAGATCTTTGCTGAGCACCCGAAGTTCATCGGTGATGCTGGCAATCTCGTTTATGTGAGAAGCGTCGCCTAGTGCCTCACGTAGCTGGCGCCTCTGTTGTATGAGACTGGTCACATGTGCTGCACGCTGCTTGTACTCGGGTGAGGGCGAAGGTGGAGTCGTGAAAAAAGGAGCAGCAGCCTCACCGAGCACCTGGAGTAAGTAAGACCAATCTCGATTGGGGGTCTGTTCGTTTCTCTGAAACTGCTTCCACTCCTCAATATCATCTAAAATCCGTTGTTCAACCCTTTGCAGAAATTCCACTCGATGTGTGCCACGTCGTAATCCATCCATGAGAGCATCTCTGTTCCAGCGATGTATATTCTGAACGAAGCCCAGCTGTGGTCGATCAGCAACTGCCGAAGGTAATCCAAGCGTATCCATGAAAGAGTAAGCTAGTCGAGCGTGGACTGGGATATGATCGCGAGGCATGTGGGCCGCTATAGCCTGCAATGGTCTTCCCATACGTCGTAGCGGCCCCGCTGAGAGTATTTGAGATATCGAGCACCGTGGGATGATGATATAGTCCAGCTGGCTGCCCTGCCCCTTGTTGTTGAAGTATGTTGCCCCATAGCCTCTGTGTGTGTTGAGTACCGCCATGTCGAGCATGTCGAGGAGGGGGAGGAGGACCTCTGCCGAGTACCTCTGGCGGGCTTGGTCGTGATAAGGTCCAACCGCCGTGCTGTCTGTAGCTCGCCATAGCTCAGAACCTTCCAGTCTCGTGAGCCCAAACCCCGAGTTGAGGTCCGGACAAATGATGGGAAAGAATCTGTGCACGCTCCAGAAGGGTGAGCGTAACCATTTCACAAGAGAATCGCACGTCTGATAATAAGCCTTGAACTGTCCTGCCTTTGCAGGTACTGGAGGAAAGTAAATAGAAATCACAGCAGCATCATAATGTTTACAGCGTGCACGCAAAGCAACTCCTCGGCCAGGGACTGGGCACACAAATGTTTGTACCACCGTGCTGCGCTTGATGTGTGGCCCGAGGAGAATAGAGCACCCACAAGATTTATTGCTGTGAGGGGATCTGTGCCATCCAGCGTCTAGGCACCATCTGGTGCCTACTCGTCTCCACATGGCCACTCCAGCTGGTCCGTAACGCTGCACACCAGTTGAATTGAGACAAGTAAAATCCGTGTTCTGCGAAAGGTCGGCGATGTCCTGCAATCTGTCAGAGGTACTGGCGTACATGGGATTGAATTGCAGGATACTCAATGTGTGCTTGACCCTCCCCCGCGCCGTAGTCATTGTGCGGATGGCCGAGGCTGCACTTGTCCCTGTGGGCCCTCAACTCATGCGATTGAAAGTCCAAGAGAGACACGCTGCCTCGACTGAACGAGCGCCAAAGAGGTAGCAGTGTGGTGGGCTAAATTAGGGTACGGTGGTGCGGGAAGTGTGGCCAGCCCTGCAGAGCCGGCGCTTAGGAGGAGGAGGACGAGGAGGAGGAGAAGGAAAGGAGGAGGAGGGGGGGAGGAGCAGTAGGAGGAGGACCCATGGCCACGTCCAGCTTGAGGCCCCGCCCGCCCTTTTCGGCACTGCTCGGACGAGGACTGCAGAGAGGCAGCGCCGACCGAGCGCCGAGCGCGGGGAGGCTGCGGCGCGCGAGGCCTTCTTGCCACGGCGCCGCCGAATTGTGCGCCCGCTTGAATTCACCGCCGCGCTTGCAAACAAAGGGGAGGCGACAACACCGCGCAGGCGAGACCGCAGCGCGAGTCATGCCCCCTGGAGAGAGGGCCCGTGCGGGTGCCCGTGCACCTGCAGCGCAGGTGACTCCCAGGACTTTACTGCCATCACCACCTGCCCGCTGCCCTCCGCTGCGAGTCCTCCCTGCCTCCCGCCACCCGTGCGTCTCTGCACTCCTCCCTCCCGCCCCCTCGCCCCCCGATGCTGGCCACTGACTCCACCCTCCCGCCACCTATTCCACATCCCCCTCTGCTCTTCCTCGTCGTCCTTCTCACCGTCATCCTCCTCCTCCGACGCATCATCCTGAAGCCCTTTCTGTTGAGAGCCTGTTTTCGATTTTCCGTGATAACGGCCGTCAGCGGCCCCGCCAGCGACCCCCATCCCTGGCGTTACGTTCCGCGCTGGCGGCGTCCGGGAATGCCTGGGGATGGCCGGGGACGGGTAGAAGCAGCATGTCGGTGGCGATCTGCACCACAGCGCTTGTGTGCACCACAGTGCTCGCGTGCAGCACCAGCCTTACACCGCCGCAGCCGTTTGCAACACAACGCCAGTTTACACCGCAGTGCTTGCGTGCACCGCAGCGCCAGTGTACACCACAGCGCCTGTGTACACCACAGCCCCCGCGGGCAACACAGCGCTGGTGCACACCACAACGTTTGCGTGCACAGGACAGGTCGAAGGAGCATGGAAATGAGGACCTGTTGCGGACAGCGAGCACCACGCAAGGGTAGCGCTGAGAATAAAATGCGGTTTTCTGCCATTCTCCCTCTTCCTCTTCCTCCTCCTCCTCCTCCTCCTCCTCCTCCCCATCCTCCTCCTCCTCCTCCTCCCCCTCCTCCTCCTTGGGAGGACTCGTAGACCCTAGAGGCGCTCCTATTTCGGAAAAGATTCCTTTCCAAATCCTGTATGACATAATTATGTGTTGTGGAATCCACAGGCGCTCCATTTTGTCATAACGCTTTCTTCTAAAATTCGATGTACAACAACGGTGCTTTGTTGCGCACGCTTGCTGTGGTGCACACAGGCGCCGTGGTGTACACAGGCGCCGTGGTGCACGCAGGCACTGTGGTGTACAATGGTGCTATATTGCACACGGCTGAACTGGTGTGCACAGGCGCTGTGATGTACACAGCATCGGTGGTGCACGCAGACACTGCGGTGCACACTGGCGTTGTGATGCACGCGGCTGCTGTGGTGTACATAGGTGCTAAGGTGTACACAGGCGATGTGGTGCACGCAGGCACTGTGGTTCACACAGGCGCTGTGGTGCAGAACGCCACCTACATGCTGGTCGTACCCGTCCTCGGCCATTCCTGAGCATTCCCAAACGCCGTTGGCGCGCAACGTGACGTCACCGGCCCTCTCCCCCCCCCCCCGCAGTGACGGCCGTCATCGCCCCGGAATGAAAACAGATGGCTCTAAGCATGGCCCTCCGCCCAGATGTGTTGGTATGGCGGGCTGGGCGTTTCGTCTGACCCCCGCCACGTTTCTTCGTCCGCGCAAATGTGCAGAGAAGGGACGGAGAGAATAGCACTACGGCACACCACCTCCGCGGAGCCATCCCTGGCGCGCTGCCAATGGATCGAAACCAAAGGATTGGTAATCAGTCTTGCCGGTGGACCGTTCTCGCCCGCTCGTGGACCGCTCTCGCTCGCTTCGGGACCGCCCAGCACGCTGAATGACCCTGAAGCTTGGAAATTGCAAGATTTACGCGGGTGGCGCGGGAGGGTGTTCGAAATGGTGCTCTCGCCGTAGCGCCGCGCACCTAGGTCTGAAGAACTTGCAGCGACTACAAAAATTGAGGGGGGCATTGTCAAACTAGGACCTTCATCGTGGCGCAGGGCACATTCGTCTCTCAAATTATTTCAACAATTTCGAAGATGATCGTTTTCAACATGGGGCTCTCGCCGTAGCACCGCACACATTCGCAAGGATGCGAGTCAACCCGTATAGTACGGACGCACGAAAGGGCTTCGGAAGGCCATGCCGACACTCTGCGGGCGGGGCGGGGCCAGCGAAAGCGGTCTAGGATGGACCGAAAGGGAAGGATGCAAGGGCAATCTTGGGAAATTGTTCCTCCTCTCTGTGCGGGTTGACTGTATCCTCCAGCTCGATCCCGAGTTCCGCGGTTTTGGATCCCGAGCGGTGGGTCATCGTCCTCATGGCTGCATGTCCATGGTCGTCAGGGCTCGGGTAGTGCCCCGGCGCGCGCCCCCGTGCGCCCTGGTGCGACGCGAGGGCCCCTTGTGAGCACAGGACACACTCGTTGCAGCGCCAAGAAAAACATCATAAGCAGCATCATCACGCAGCATCGTCATCATCATCATAATCAGCAGCAGCAGCACCAGCATCATCATCATCATCATCATCATCATCATCATCATCATCATCATCATCATCATCATCATCGTCATCATCATCATCATCATCATCATCATCGTCATCATCATCATCATCATCACCATCATCATCATCATCATCATCATCATCATCATCATCATCATCATTATCATCATCGTCATCATCATCATCGTCATCATCATCATCATCAGCGTCAGCGTCAGCATCAGCATCAGCATCATCATCATCATCATCGTCACCACCACCATCTTCAGCAGCATCATCATATGCTGTTTCGCTCGGCTGAGAACTGAGTTCTGTTAGCGATGGCTCGCTGCGATCAGCGGTCTGCTCCTCCAGAGCTCTGGGAGGGGGGCGGAAGGCCCCCTTCCGAAGAAGAACCCAAACACTGCAAGTTGAAACCTCTGCTTGACGCGGGACCCCTACGCGCGCTGCACAGGGGTTGCATTGTGCTGGAGGGAGAGACAACAGGGAACGAGCGAGCGCGAACTTCAAAAGGTCTGGCCTGTCCGGCACTGAGCATTGTGCGACTGCGTCCATCACTGTTTCTCCCGCGCAAGTGAAGATGCGGGAGACCTCTTTGGCAGCAAACGCCCGTCCGACTGGCGCATGCGCGCTCGAGCCCAGCAACATCCTCAAGTTGACGGACAACGAAATGCATATACATATGCGCCTCCACTGCGCTCTGAACATGCATATGACGCTCACGAGTGTGGTCGCAGACCCTGATGGGATTTGAGATTTCATTACGTCGACTTGAGAGGCATGACCACACGCGGCTTCCTTGCGGCATCTCTGAAAGAAAAGGAACACGAGCATGCCCGGACGCCGAGGCGAGCTCCCCGAACCTCTCCGCAAACCGCCGCAATCGATACTGACAGAAAAGCTTGCCAGTTGCTGTGCTTGCCCCCGCCACCACAGGCGGCAGGAACAGCGCGGCCGCCTCCGCACGCCGCGCGCGCGCCAACAGGCGGCGCCCCAGAGGCGCGCCCAGCCGCCCATCACCGAGCGCGTCGCCGCGACGCATCCAGGCGGGCACGCCCTGCGCGGCCAGGCGAGAAACGATGCCGCACAGGCGGTCACCGATCAAGAGCGCCTTACTGCGCGCGGCGAGGGCTGGGTGCCCCCCTTCTGCGGCACCGCACGCCCCCGCGGCAAGGCGGGCTCCAGCTCGCGCAGGCAGCGGCCCCCGTAGGCGAGCAGCACTGCGATGCGCGCCTGAGCCCCCTGCCCAAGGCGGGCCCCCTTCTCGTGGAGCGCCATTTTCTTCAACTGGCACCCGCCGCCCCTGCGCTGCACTTCTGCCTGGCTGCGCTCGCCGCTGGCGCGGTCGACGGCGGCGCCTGAGTGCCGCGCCTGGCACGGCGCGATCGGCCACAGCTGCCGAGGGTCGCCGGAGCCCATCATTTCGCGTAGCAGCGCGGGGTAGTCAAACGGCCGCGCTGGTTCGCAAGGGTTCAGCTTCTGCACCCCGCCCACGACTCGGCCCAGCCACGGCAGCCACGACGAGTCCAGCTTCATGCGCAAGACGAGCTCCCTGGACTTGTCAGGAGCGGCCACCTCTCGGGGGCGCAGGAGGAGATTCCAGCGCCGACTCCCCGCGCACGGCTTCACGACGTCGGCGGGGCGCAGCCCGAGAAGCGACGACGGCCTGATATACTTCGGGTAGAAGCGGTTCACCGCGCCCACCACGCGCACGCCCGTCGAAGCCCGCTCGCCCTGCAGGTAGAGGGAGGTCAAGCAATCGACCAGGCAGGCGCCCATCGTCCCCGACGGCAGCTCGTTGGAGCCCTGGCGGCCACACCTCACCCTATGCTGCTTGAGCACCCGCTGGTACGATGCCCTCGCTCACGGCATCGCAACGCTGGACTCCAGGTAGCGGTCGACCGGCACCCCGCCCCCGATCGCCCGAGCGACAGCTGCGCGTCACCGTCTCGCTCGCCTGGGCAGCGCCCGCTGTCGCTTGGAAGCGGCGGCGACCTCGGGCCCGAGCTCGGACCGACTGATCGACCCCGCTTTCCAGCGACGCGCCTTCGGATCGCGGCAGACTGCGATCCCTCCGCCGACTCCAGGCACGGTGTCTGGGGCCCCGCAGCGGGGGTTGCGTGAACGAGGATCGACTGGAGCACGGCAGGCTTCTTCTCGCCCCGCCTTGACACCAACCCTCGCGTCGGCACCGTCGGGCGAGGCGCTCTGGCGGGCCCGGCCGCTCCGCGGGCTCCAAACTGGCCTGGCAGCTTGCTCTGGGACGGCAAAAACATTCGAGCCAGCTAGAGCGCAAATGTCTACGGATTGAGCGGGAGAGGTAGGCGACTCACTGCATGCTCGATGGAATTCACATCCGGAGCGTACCTTATCATAGCTGCAAGACGCGTCTGACTTCAAATCTGACTCAGGTTCTGCACGCCGACAGCACGAGGGGGTCAAAGGGCGCGCACAAACATGGGGAGGGTTCACATAAGCTAATGGCGTTGATTCGTCCTCGACCCAGAAGCTCGACTCTGGAGGAGGATAAGCAGGTAGAGAAACAAGTATCACATGCGTTAGAATCTTCGAAGGCTCTCAACCTCTGGCCCGCGATCCCTCACCACTGTTGTTTAGCTAGCTCTGGACCCAAAGGGCGATGACCCTCAAAGTTCGACTCAGAAGGTCGGCCGTGAATGAGCGGATCTGCCTTAGAATCGCGAAACTCCCACATATATTTCCATCGAACGCCAGGGCCGCACCGAGATTGTCGGCAAACAAAATCAGCATAGCAATGAAACCGAAACGAGCGAGAGCAATGCCTTTTTAAGGGCAGCACAAGGGCCCTGGATTCTAATATGCCGATATGCGCACTATAGTTCCATGTTCCCTGTCACACGTTACGTCAGAGCGGATGCGACAGGAGCTCACTGGGCACCTCGCGGAAGATGAGGTCCATCTCGCCCCCCCCCCCCCCCCCCCCCCAGGCAACATGGTTTCGGTCAAGAGCCCCCCCCCCGTCGCCCACGCACCGCCGCCCCCCTTCGCGGACACGAACTCGCCGAGACCCGCAGCGGCGAGGGCCGAGCGACGGGCCTCGACGCCCCCCTCCGCCCTGAACGGCCACCCCCCACGATGGCCACCCACGGCGTTAAGAGCGTCGAGATCCCAGAACATTCCAGCCATCTCGAACCCGTTCTCCAAGGCATCCGAGCACCGTGCCCACCGGTTGCAGCGCAGCCACAAGTCCGACACCATCGCGGGCAGCAGCCCTCGGAAGGCCAGCAGCTCTTCCCGGCCGGCGCCCCAGGGCGGAGCAGATTCTCAATTGTTGTTGTTTTTTTTTTTTTGCGACGATCCAGTAGCGCGCGCGACATGCACAAAGCGCTGGACGACGTGCCAGGCCAAGATGCGCGCAAGGCCCCAGCAGGTCGCGAATATCATTGCTTCCAACAGCCCGAGACGGAAGAAGCCCGACTGCACCCTGCCAAACCCCCCAGAGCCGCTTGAGCGAAGGCTGCGTTTGAATCCCCCGCTCGCCCAAAACCGAGCGGAACACCTCGACGCCTTCTCCGAGCCCGCCCCCATCCTGAGCACCAGCGGCTTCCCCGCGTCACTCAGAGCGCGCCGTCGCGGAGGCTCGAGGCGACCTGTCAGCGGAGCTCGGTCGCGCTCTGACGCGGGCACAGGCCCCGCGCGCATCCCATCGGCAGCGCCTCGGGGATCGGGTAGACCACGTCGTCGCAGCCCAGCGCGCGGCCCTCCAGCTCGGCGCCGCCGAGCCTGACGTCGCCCCCCTCGACGGCCGGCAGCCCGAAGAGCCGCCCCATCCACGTGGAGAGCTCAAGCTGCTGAAGTGCCGCTGGAAGGGCGGCCTGGAGATGGTCATCGGCGCCTCCCATGAGCTCGAAAGCCGAGGGGCCCTCCGGCGTCGACAGCTGCGCCGATGGGGGGTCGATCAGCAAGGCATTGGTTCGGCGGCGCTAAGCGCCTCCTCCATCCCATTCTTCCACGCTGAGAGAATCCCACATTTCTCCGGGACCTGGCGCGCGGACGACGCCAAGCCGCCCTTAGCGAGGTCCCTCCCAAAGTCGCCGTACCGACGTCGGCTTTGCACCGGCGTCGGCTCGCTCAAGGGCGCCCGCAGACAGCGCCCAAGTGCCTGCCGCGCCCCCCCACGGCCCCGCAGCACGCGCTCGCCCTGCCAATCCTTGCCAAGCACGCTCGCCCCTGAGGCAGCTCACGAAGCGCGGGCGCCTCAGCGATGCCCTCGGGAAGCGACGGATGCCCAGGTCGGCGAGGGGCGAGCACGCCCTCAAGAGGGCCGCCAAGGCACGGCGACCTCCCACGCATCAACTCCCGCAGGGCTGAATGCAGAGGCTGCAGCTGCACGCCTCGCATCGGCTGCGCGACGTTGTCCACCCGCCCATCGACGCGCCGCGGGACGTCGAGCTGCTCCGACGAGGGCGCGGTGGAAGACCTCGCGGGCGCCCCCGCCAGCCAATCGCGGCCGCAGATAGCTTCGTTCACCAGCACATCACGAAGCCGCCGACGCCGAACACGATCGCGACCCCACCCCGAGACCCCCTGGCTCGCCTGCCCCCCCCCTCTCTGGCAGCGGGGAGATGTCGCGAGCTCCTTCCCTGGGCGGCAGCCCAGGGGGCCCTGTATCACCGACGCTGCGGGCTGGGCCAATTCCGGCGGCGAACTCGTCAAGCGCCACAAGAAGCCCCGCGACGCATCCGCGTCGTCAGGCTCGTTGGTCGGCCCCGCAAGCTTCGTCGACTCCGCGTCGCCCTTTCCGCCCCCCTTGCCAGGCTTGAACCTGCCGGTCCCCGCGAGGCCGCGGACTCGGGCGCTCGGGCACTCGGCGTCCTCTTTCGCCCTCTTCGATCCGAAAGTGCGCAGCCCTGGTGTCACCGCACCCCCAGGCCTGCAAGCGCCAGTGAAATAGCGACCCCCCCCGCCAGCTGGCGGGAGCCCTTGGAACGGGATGGGCATCACTGATCACCTGTATCCGCCTGGCTGATCGCTCCGTGGATCGGAGACTCTCCAGGGTCAGCTGGCCGTAGCTGCCAGCCAGCTGCAGGCACTGGCAGAACACCTCGAGCTCATGGTTGATACGGTCCTGGCGCTCCACGCAGTGCTCGCGGCTTCACTCGGCCAGCCGGCGCAATAGATTACCCCCGTTCATGTACATGGCCTTCGCGAGGATAACCACCGAGACTGGCCCATCGATGGAGCCATCCGAAGACGACTCTGTCATCGTCACCCCCTCCTCTATCGCGTGGCCGCCCCCTGGCTCCATCAGCATCCAGACAGTCTCGCCCGCGGGGACGTCTGCTGGTCGCCGAAGTCGATCAAACCTGGGGGGCCGAGCAGGAGAAGACTACCCTGTCGTACTCCTCCCTCGTCAAGCGCGTGCTCGGGCCAGTCGTCCTCAGCCTGCCCGCGAAGCGCCTCGATGTCACAGCAGCCCTTTGCAAAGGGCCAGCACCCGCTCCAAGCTCGGTTTCCCTCTCTTTCTCTCTCTTTCTCTCTCTCTCTCTCTCTCTCTCTCTCTCTCTCTCTCCCTGAAATCGTACACACGCCGTGCACCCAGAGCGGGGTAGCCCACATCACCGAGCGGCCGAGCTCCACTGGATCCGTTCTCGGGGTCGCTCCTGTCCAATCGTTACTGCCAGAAGTCGTTGTCGAGAGGGCGTACCCACCACGATCCCTCGCCCTCGTCGCCTCTCCATCACGGAATCGGCGTCCAGCCCGAGGAGCACCCCCTCGGGGTCAAAGCCGCCACATCGCTGCAGCCGACACGGAACGGCGAGCCCACGCCTGCCTTGGCCCACAACTCCTGCCCCCCTGCGGCGAGGCGTAGCGGCACCGCGCGCGCGGGCCATCCTCGGTGGCCGCCGCTGGAGCTGCTCGCCGACGCTCGCGATGCACCCGCCACAGCACTCCCTCGATCAGCTGGCCCAGCCACCACGCCAGCGGTCCTGACCACGCCACCAGCTGCCAGCTGTTCCGCTCCCCGACGGGGCAAATCGGCGGTTCGACGATGGGACAGCTCGGCTCCGAGCTGGTGGCCTCCAATCCAGGAGTCGGGGGAGGCGGTGGCGGCGGCCCGTTCGCCGACGCGTTCTGGTCGGCCTCCAGCTCACGTTCCCACGCCTTGCGGGACAGATGCTCTTGGCCGATCTGAGTGAGCTTCAGCCAGAGAATGACCCAGAATGGAAAGTTCGGCGGGGCATGCGACAGCATGTCACCCTCGAACCAAAAAGGGCTGCAGTCGCAGACAAACCTGAAGGCATGCAAGGTAACGACAACCCACTCCCCGCGAATCATGTCTGTACACGCACCCCCATCATCATCAGCACCATCAGCATCATCATCATCATCATCATCATCATCATCATCATCATCATCATCATCATCATCATCATCATCATCATCATCATCCTCATCCTCATCCTCATCATCATCATCATCATCATCATCATCATCATCATCATCATCCTCATCATCCTCATCATCCTCATCATCATCATCATCATCATCATCATCATCATCATCCTCATCCTCATCCTCATCCTCATCAGCATCATCATCAGCATCACCAGCATCATGATAATCATCATAATCATCATCATCATTATCAGCATCATCATCAGCAGCAGCATCGTTATCATCATTAGCATCATCATCAGCAGCAGCAGCACCATCATCATGATCGTTATGGTCGTCGCCGTCGCCCTCGTCGTCGTCATCGTGGTCGCCGTCGTCATCGTCGTCGTCAGTGTCACCATCAGCAAAAACATCCATCTTCAGAATATCTACGATAATCCCAATTGTCATCACCATCGCCATCCTTATGAACGAAATCGTCGTCACCATCAGCATCGCCGAAGTCATCGTCGTGATCGTCAGCCTTATCCTCATCCTCCTCCTCCTCCTCCTCTCCAAACCCTCCGACTCCGACGGCTCTGATCTCCACCCTTGAGATCAACACAGGAATCATTCGCATAGTGGCATCGCTCTAGAGTGAACAACCAATCGGGTGGCCACCGTTGTGCTGTGATGTCATCTGATGTCCACTCCCCGGTCGTAGCGCGCGTCCTGAGAGGAAGGGGGAGGTGGCGAGAGGAGCAAGACCGAGGAGACAGAGGGAGACAGAAGGAGGCAGAGGGAGAGGGGGAGAAAGGTATGGCAGGAATGGCGAGTCGAATAGAGTTGGAGAAAGCGAGGCAGTGGGCAATAATCGGTCTCTGGACGGTGCTGCCGCGATGGAAGCACATATGCAGCGGGCACAGCAAGGTAGCGAGAGGGACAAAAGGTAGGCAACAACAGGGGACGAGATGCAACTGGAGGGCGCACACAGCCCATCTGAAACAAGTGGCCATATCGACGGGCTCACCCGAGGCGAATGAAGATTTGGGAGGGCACGATCTCGCACTGTGTGAGCTCATTACATGGGCGAGCTCTGCATTGCGCACCCCAAGAAACCGCCACGACGCGGCAACGAAAGGAAGTCGATTGCAGGCGCAAGACGTCACGCACCCGGACCTGCCAGGAGCTTCCAGAGTTCCAGAAACTGAGCACGTTCCAGGCTCGAGGGAGGCGAGGTATAGTAGGGAGCCCACACAGGACGTACGCGCCCAGCTATGTACATGAACACGGCCCCTCGATCCGCGAGACTGGCCGCGTGATACGAGCATTCGGGCAATGCGTACTCTCGAAATCAGCGTTGATTCATGTACGTGTACGTTCTCCTTTCGCTCCTGACATGGGTATGTTCCCTTTGGGCCCGCGCTCCACTGGACCTCCCAGGAGTTCGCGACAGGTGCGCGGCCGGCAGGCACCAGTGAAGAGAAGCCTCGGTGGAGTCCACGGCAACCCCCCCCCCCAGGAGCTCACAGAAGTGGCGACGGCTTCGCGGTTGGCGGTCATCAGGGAGGGGAGACCTCTACAGTCATCGGCCTGACCTAAGGAACGATAAATAAGCAACGAAGCCCCTTTTTTATCCCAAGGAATAACGCATAAGGAACGATAAATAACAAATAACGCATAAGGAACTGTAAATGACGCATGCAAACCTAAGGAACGACCGAGCCCCTTTTGAAAAGTAAGTGTTCCTTATTCAAGCCGCTCACTGTAGTTGTGGCCCCTTTCGCCATGCACTCTGCTGCACCTCCCAGGAGCTCACAAGGAATGGCGGCGGCTGCGCGCTTGGACCGCCTCTCCGCTGGACCTCCCGGGAACGCCCGAGAAAGTGGCGGCAGCTGCGAGGTCGGCAGCCACCAGGGAGAGGCGAGGCCTAGACGTGGCCACTCTGGCTCCGCACTCCGCTGGAACTCCCAGGAGCTCGAGAACGTGGCAACGGGTGCGCAGCTGGCAGGGCTGGCAGCTGCCAGTGAGGCGCGGTCCAGACGGGATCCCTCCGACCTGGCGCTCCCCTGAACCTCCCAGGAGCTCAACAAAAGTGGCACCGTTTGCGCAGCTGGCAGCCGCCAGCGAGGCGCGACCTAGATGGGATCCCTCCGCCATGGCTCTGTACTGGACCTCCCAGGAGCTCGAGCTCGTGGCGACGGTTGCGCGGCTGGCAGCCACCGGGGTGGCGAGATCTACTGATGATGTCACCCTCAGGCCCGCATTCCGCGGGACGCAGGTGCGCACTGGCACCGTGCCCCGCTGGACCTCCCAGCGAGCTCTAGGAAGTGGCGACGGTTGCACGGTCGGCAGCCCCGAGGGAGGATCGGCCTGGACGCGGTCGCGTCAGCCCCGCGCTCCACTGACCTCCCAGGAGCTCAAGCGAGAAGCGGCAGCTGCACGCTCGGCAGTCTCCAGGGAGAGGCGAGGTCTACTGTGATCCCTTTAGCCCCGCACCCCGCTGGATATCCCAGCGAGCTCAAGGAAGTGGCAACAGTTACGCAGTCGGCAGCCACCAGGCAGGCGAAGTCGATTATGGTCCCTTGAGCCCCGCGCTCCCCTGGACCTTCCAGGAGCTCACGGGAGTGGCGGCCCGTTGAGAGGTTGCCGACATACAGGGAGGCGAGGAGGGAGGAGTCGGGGGCAGACGAGGAAGAAGGGAGGAAGGAAGAAGAGAGGAGGCGGGAGAAGATGAGGGAGGAGGAAGGATAGAGGGATGGGAGTCGGAGGAGGCGGCGGGATTGGAGTCGGAGGAAAAAGGCGGGATAGGAGTCGGAAGAAGGATGGAGGGAGGAAAGAAACAGAGGAGGAGGCTACAGTGCTCTTCCCCGAACGAGGGCCCAGGACACTGGAGTGTTGGGGTCCATGAAATGTGCTCCAGAACGCCCAGCCCAGGACGGCACAAATCATCCCCAAGAGCGCCACATAGAGAGCAGCAAGGACCCCGCAAGCACCCCGCGCGAAGCCCCAAGCGGCCCGGGGCAGGCGAGAGACCTGCCAAGGGAGCCCCTAGACGTCCCACGATGGCTCCCACCAGGCCCCAGACGGCCATAGACCAGGGCTCTGCCTAAAACAGTGTTTAGGCCCTAGACAGTGTGTTCCGTATTCGCTTTGTGTGCGGTGTCCCTCGTCATATCTTCGTTCCTCCACTGTTGCAAGACGAAAACAGCACGAAAAACAGCACACGGAATCGCCAACACGCCGTCAGCTCGGGCCCTGGACAGGGCATCGCAAGATCCACGCCACGACACGCCCGTGCCTGGCTGGAGCCTTGCTGCGTAGATTCCCTGAGCGCAGGGGGCGGACCTGCGCAGCAGCGCAACTGGAGCTGCGCAGCCAACTTTTGAGACCCTGGGAGTGAAAAGCGGTGGGACTCTGTCGCCTCCTCGAGCTCCTCCTCCTCCTCCTCCTGTTCCTGTTCCTGCTCCTGCTCCTGCTCCTGCTCCTCCTCCTGCTCCTCCTCCTCCTCCTCCTCCTCCTCCTCCTCCTCCTCCTCCTCCCCCTCCCCCTCATTTTCATCCTACTCCTCCTCCTCCTTGTCGTGGGCGAGAAGGGAGCAGCATTCGGGAGTTAGGGGAGGGAGGAGGCCGAATGTGAACTGCAGCGGCGGGAGGAGGAGGAGCGGGAGGAGCAGGAGGACCAGGGGAAGGCGGGGGAGGGGAGAGGCAGGGGGCGACCACGACGGGGAAGGCATCGGATCCAGAGATGTGGCCAGCGCAGGGGCGAAAGCCCGTTCTGAACGGCGGGAGCACAGGGTCGACCATGACATAACGCCAACGCTGCAGTGAAAACACCATCATGAAGCACCGAAACACGCTCCGAATGAACGACAACAACAACAACAACAACAACAACAACAACAACAACAACAGCAAGAACAACAACAACAACAACAACAACAACAACAACAACAACAACACCAGCAACAACGTAAGGACAACCTCTCAGGCCACCCCGGCGGGGCCCGTGGTGGTGTCCTCGCCCACGGGGCGAGCGCACTCCCCCAGGCCACACGTTGCAGTTGTTGCCCCCGGGGGGGGAGCAACGCGCAACACCTCTGTCATACGCTGACGTAGATCTATAAATGTGTTTCCGAATCTCCGCTTCCGCAGAGGATTCTCGCGACGGCACACGCGCACGGGCGTTCGACAAATTTCGACATGCGCGCGCGCGACGCCTGTTTGGTAGCATGTTGTGAAAATCTTGAAAACCAAAAACTGTTTTCTTAAGATTTCGCAAGAGCTCGCGCGTAAGCTATAGGAGCAAATCAGTGTTACGAAATCATGTGTTTTTGTATGTGTATTGGAAATTCGATTGCGAAATCCTTCTGGCACCAAAGGTTTTTGAACGATTCCGGCATGCGCGCGCGACGACTCGCGCGTGTGCAGTTCGTCCCGTGTTTTTGTAAGGGATTCGTGGAAAACTGCTATGCTAAAACAAAAAAGTCACCGCATAGTGCTTTTTAAACAGGAACCTCAGGGGGGGATACCAGATGGCCTGGGACATTGCGATTTCACAGTTATGAAGGACATGTGGTCAAAATCATTTGTGATTTACATACCCGAAAGGGGGGCGGTAACGCCCGGGGGTAGCGTCTTTTCTCTTTTTCAACGCGAGGACCAAGGATTCCAATAGGATTATTATGGAATCCTGTAGGACCCTGTAGCGATCCTGTAAGATTCCTTCAGGATTCAAATTGGTGTCCTGTGGACTCCTGCAGGACCCTGCAGGGATCCTGTATGATTCCAACAGGATGCCTATAAGGGTCCCTATGGAATCCTGTAGGGCCCTGTAGGGATCCCGAAGAATTCCTATAGGAGACCGATGGAATACGGGAGGGTTCTCTAGGAATCCTATAATATTCAAAAAGAATTCCTACAGAATCCTTGAGAGGGGTGGGCCGAAATCAAGTTTCGGTGGAGCTCCCTGAGCCACGATCCTCGGGAGGGGTGCGGCGAAATCAAGCCTCGGTGGAGCTCCCTGTGGGGCCAGGGCCACGATCCGTGAGAAGGGTGCGCCCTTTGGGGCGTGTATGGGACTCCGCAGCAGCCCCGAAAGGACCTTCCGAGCAGCGCCGCCGAGCCTTCAGACCCCCGCAGCGGCCTGGCGAGGCCTCGTGGCGTTGCTCGGACCAGGGGCCTTGCGGGGCCCGTGCGTGGCCCCGTGGCGTTGTTCGGGGGGGGTCGAGCAACGGGCCTTCAGTAGTGTCCTCGAGAACAACAACAGCAACGACAACAACAACAACAACAACAACAACAACAACAACAACAACACCAACAACAACAACAACAACAACAACAACAACAACCACAACAACAACAACAACAACAGCAACAACAACAACCACAATAACAACAACAACAACAACAACAACAACAGCAGCAACAACAACAACAACAACAACAACAACAACAACAACAACACCAACACCAACAACAACAACAACACCAACAACAACAACAACAACAACAACGATAACAATAACAACAACAACAACAACAACAACAACTAAAACAACAACAACAACAACAACAACAACAACAACAACAACAACAACAACAACAACAGCAGCCATCACCACCAACAACAGCAACAACACCAACACCAACAACAACAACACAAACAACAACAACACAAACAACAACAACAACAACAACAACAACAACAGCAGCAGCAGCAGCAGCAGCAACAAAAACAACAGCAGCAGCAACAACAACAATCGTTTTAAAACTGTTCGCCCTTATCTGCTCGAGTGCCGAATAACGCGAATTTCCCAAACCCTCGATACCCGCCCTTGTCGTCTTCGATCGAACCCTTTTGGGGGGCATACCTTTCTTCCCTGCAGGCCGGGCCCAGGCAAGCGGCGGGGCGGCCGCGGACCGTCGGCCTGGCCAGCGGCAGCGCTGATCGGCGGGGCGGCCGCGGACCGTCGACCCGACCCCAAGAGGGACGGACAGGGGACCGACCACGACGACGACGACGACGACGACGACGTCGACGACGACGACAACGTCGGCGACGGCGACGACGATGAGCGAAGGCGAGAGCGAGAGAGAACGACAGCAGAGCCACGAAGGACACGAAGTAGGCCACGAAAGACGACAGCGGGGACACGAAGGGAATACGTATGGGGCCACGAAGAGCGCGAACGAGCGTGGGCCACGAAGGGCAGATAATGCGGGGCCACAGAAGGCAACGATGGGGCGGGCCACTGAGGGTAGCACCTGGGCAACGTAGGACAATGAGGGGGCCACAAACGGCGACAGCGGGGCCACGAAGGGCATGCACATGGGGCCACAACGGGCGCGAACGAGCGGGGGCCACGAAGGGCATACGTATGTTGGGCCGCGGAGGGCAAGGACGGGGCCACTGAGGGCAGCAACGGGGACACGAAGGGCAGCGAGGGGGCCACGAAGGGCGACAGCGGGGCCACGAAGGGCATGCATATGGGACCACCACGGGCGCGAACAAGCGGGGGCCACGAAGGGCATACATATATAGGGCCACGAAACAAAGCGAGGGGGCCACGAAGGGCTGCAACGGGGCCACGAAGGGAAGCAAGGGGGGCACGAAGGGCTGCAACGGGGCCACGAGGGGCTGCAACGGGGCCACGAAACAAAGCGAGGGGGCCACGAAGGGCTGCCACGGGGCCACGAAACAAAGCGAGGGGGCCACGCAGGGTTGCAACGGGGCCACGAAGGGCAACGAGGAGGCCACGAGGGGCTGCAACGGGGCCACGAAACAAAGCGAGGGGGACACGAAGGGCTGCAACGGGGCCACGAAACAAAGCGAGGGGGCCACGAAGGGCTGCAACGGGGCCACGAAAGGCAGCGAGATCCCGATTCCTAGGTAATCTGTGAAGGAGTCCTAAGCGTGAGCGCGACTCCTGGGTGCCTGGGTGTCGGGAGCGCGGCGCTGGAGTAAATTGTAAGAAATCCCACCAGCCCTTTGGGCGTGAGTGGTTTCGAGAGCCCGCTCTGTCCTCAACCCCCCTTCTTCCCCTTCGGGGAGGGGTTTACCCCTCCCCCTGCCCCCTCCCCTGGACCTGGAGAGGGCGGGCGGAGTGGTGTCAAGGGGGTATTTTGCGACTCCTGGGAGGGCCAAAAAAACGACGACCCTCACGAGGATTCTGGTCCCGAGGGGGGGAGACCGTTTGGCGCATCAACTCGTCTTTGAAGCCAAAAACATTGATTTTACTACGGTTTCGGCCCCTGTTTGGCCTTCTGAGGGGGCCGCGCTCATCGTCCTTCATAGCAAAATTATTGATTTTACTAAGGTTTTGGCGTCATTTTGACATTTTCAGGGGGTAGCTCTCATTGGCTCTTCTGAGGAAGTCGCAAGAGGCCCCAAGATGGCCCCAAGAGGCCCCCAGGAGGCTCCCAAGAGGCCTCCAAGAGGCCCCCAAGAGGCCCCCAAGAGGCCCCAAGAGGCCCCCAAGAGGCCCCCAAGAGGCCCCCAAGAGGCCCCAAGAGGCCCCAAGAGGCCCCCAAGAGGCCCCCAAGAGGCCCCCAAGAGGCCCCCCCAAGAGGCCCCAAGAGGCTTTTTTTTTCACCCCAGATCCAGCGCCGCGGACTCCGCCACGCTGGAGGCTTGCCGCACTGAGCTCAGTGCGGCCCCGCGAGGCCCGCGGGCCTCACCCGCCTCTCCTCGTGGGCACCATCTCGGCGGGGAGCGGCCTGCCCGTCTGCGGGTGGCAGCCGCGGAGGATGCGGTCCCGCCTCTTCCTCCTGGAGTCCGCTCCTCCGTCGGCCCCTCGCCGCGGCAGGGGCCCAGGACAGGCGCGGCCCAAGCTGGCCCTCCTCACCGCCGAGTGGGCCCCGCACACGCGGCAGACGACGTAGGGGCCGACGACCTCCACGACATGCGCCATCCTGAGATCCTCCTCGGCGCTCGGCGGGCCCTCGAGGACAGGCACGTCCGCCGCCTCCCTGCATCTCCGAGGCGACCTCGACCTCCGAGGTGACCTCCCTGCAGCACTGCCGTCTTCTCCATCATCTCCGCCTGCAGCTGCCGCCGCCACCGCCGCGCCAGCGCAGGCCGCCGCCGCCCCCAGGGCGCCGCCAGCCCCACGCCCTGCAGCCGTGGACGCCTCCTGCCTTGCAGCCCTCTGCCTCCGCGCGCATGCGGCTCCCACTCTAGCCTCCAGCGAGCCCCGCTCCTCGCTGGACTGGTGGCCCACCGCCTGCCAGGGAGGGGGTGCGCAAGCGGAGGCCCACAGCTTCTTCCTCATCCTGGCCGAAGCTGCACGCTTGCCGCACCGCGTGCACACCAGCCAAGCTCCACACACCTCGACCTCGTGCCTCGTGAGGCTGACGTAGGGCCTCTGCTGCTTCCTCCTTCTGCTCGGCCCCGTCCTGGGCGGCACGTCGGGCCATCCTTCCTTCATCTCCTGGTACCACCAGCCGATGTTCTGGATGGCCCACTTCACCTTCTCATCCAGGCTCTCCAGGGTCTGCTCCCTGCCGTACCCGAAGTCCTCCGCGGCCCCACGCTTGGCCAGGGCGTCCACCGCCTCATTGCCCCTGGCCACTTGCTGCGCCAAGCCCTCGAGCCTGCTGATGGCCGCTCTGGACCTGTGGGCCTTCACATGCATCACCCACTCTGGCTCAAGCCCCACGTCCGCGATCTTGTGCCAGATCCTCCTCCAGACGTCCGCGTGCGGCCTTCCCCAGCTTAAGCACCACCTCGGCCCCCTCCTGATGCCGTCAAGGATGCCCTGGTGGTCCGTGAAGATCCTGCACGGCGGCAGCACCGTCTCCAAGGTCTTTAAGAAAGCCCACATCTCGGCCCTCTTGACCGTCTTCTGCTCCTTGAAGCGGCATGGCAGGGGGCCCCAGAGCTGCACCGTGGGGGCGCCTCCCGCGTCGATGGCCATCGCGGCCCACCCCGCCTGCGCCCAGCAGCTGGTGCCCAGCTTGGAGCCGTCGCACACGATGTCGCCCGACAGGAGGGCGCCCGCCCCCTGGAGGACGTCGCAGTGGAAGTCCGCCTCGTCGACCGACCTGTGGGCCCAGTCCGCCGAGGGGTCCCGCGCCAGCCCACGCGTCCAGAGCAAACCGTCCTCCTGCTGCTCCGCCACGTGCTGCCACTCCGCCTGCGCTCGCCTCCTGACCTCGAGCAGCGCGGGGCACCGAAAGAAACGATGATGCGGGGTGCCGACCGCCAGCCCACACCCAATGCAGATGTCGGTCGGCGTGATGCTGATCTCGGCATGCCTGCTCATGGCCCAGGCCCCCGCCAGCACCACCTTCCGAGCCGCCCGCTTCGCATGCGCAGGGAAAGCCCGCGCGGCCAGCTGCGCCACCACTGGCGGGAGCCTCGGGCCTGGGGCTAGGCTCCCCATGCCTGGCTGCTGCGCCGTCCACTGCTCCCACAGCACTCTGCGCAGGTCAGCCCTGAGGAGCGCCCCGACGTCAGTGGGGCACACCGCCGTGAGGTCCACCATCTCGCCGTCCTTTGTGCAGTAGACCGTCCACGACGGCCAGGTCCACCTCGCTCTCCTCAGTGACATGATGACCGCCCCCGCGGGTCCTTTGACCTTGGCCCACTGCGGGCTCATGCCCACCTCCTTCTGCTGCTGCCTCCACGCGTTGCTCATCTGCTCACTCAGGAGGACAGCCTCACTGCCAACACTCGTCCTCCTGCTTATCTTGTCCTCCGCGATCTCCATTTGGCTGCCCGCCACCAGCAGCAGCTCGACCAGGCTCTCAATGGTGCTGACACCTAGGTAGCCTTCCTCTTCCTGCATGCCTCCTTCGCTTCCTTCCCAGGGACATTGCGCCCTTCTCGACCCCAGCAGCCGCCGCACCACCTTCTGCAGCGCGACCTGCTCTTGCCTGTACTGCGAGATGACCTGGGCGCGGCAATCCTCGTCGAGCGCGTCGAGGTAACGGAAAGCTGCACGCCTTCTCCAGCACGCCCTCCGCCACGCACGCCGACACACTTCTGCAGCAAGACACTCCGCCTCCTGAGCCTCCTCCTGGGGCAAGCTTCCACCTGTGGCCTTGGGAACCGCCTCCCTCCTGAGTTCACTGCGGAGGCCTGCCTGCGCTGCCTCCTGCAGGTACTCCGCGACCAGGGGAACACTCCACTGGCTCCAGTCCTCCTGCCGCTGGTGCTTCTCGCCCCTCAGATCCTTGATCCACAACGCCGTCCAGACACCGAGGGCATCCCTGAGCCTAGCACCCGCCTCAGGCCTGAAGGCCTGCTGGCGACAGGGTTGCACCTGCCCCTGGCCCCCTGCAACGAGCACTCTCAGGTATCCTGCCACGGCCTGTTCCCAGACGGCCCTCGCCCACCTGACCACTGGCGCAAGTGTGGCCTCCTCGGTGGGGTCCTCCTTCAGCACCGCCAACTGCAGGGTGAGGCTCTTGGCTCCTCTCGAACCTGGAAGCAACTGGCCTGCCGCTCTCCTTACCTGCTGCAGCTGGTGGTCTGGCATGCCCAGGCACTTGCACCCATACATTACCGATCTCTTGAGGCCGCACTTGTACACCAAGCCAACCCCTCTAGTCACACCTTTGCCTGAGCCTTTCAGCCCCTTTAGCCTGGCGACCCTGTTCCTCACGCGCTTGAACCTCTTGCCACTCTTGTTCTTGGCCGCCGTCCCGTGGGCCACCACGTCGACTCCGAGGTAAGGGCAGGCCAGCACCAAAGGCAGCCCTCTCTCTGCCGCATCCTGCTTGAGAGCCTGTCTCAGCCACTTGGTGCTGGCCATGACCGCCCCCTTGCCCTGGTCGCCCAGGGAGAACTCGAGCCCCAAGGCCGCGAAGCCGTCCACGCTGTCGTCCACAACGGACGGGAAGCTGTCCACGATCCACTGCTGCGCCCCTCGCTGCCTGAGGCACAAATCGTCAACATACATCCTCCATTGCACCAGCGGGTACTCCACAACCAAACCGTCAATCGTGTCCTGTATGACCATCTTGAGGAAACCCACCGAGAACTTGCTGCCCGCGATGATCGTAGCCACTGTCCTCGTCTCCTCCGAGATGGCCCCCCCCGCGTTGACTCGCCTCGCCATGGCAAAGTAGGAGCACACCACCGCCAGCACCCCCGTATTGAAGCCCATGGCCTTACCACGCTCCCACAGCACATGCAAGCTCACCCTCTCGAACGCCTTGACCAGGTCGAGGATGGCCGTCACCGTCGCTAGGGTACGCGGGTCCGAATCCTGCACCTCGTCGCCCTCGTTGGCGAGGAGAACCTCCCAAGCCGCGTCCTCCGCCGCCTTGCCGAAGGCCGTGCAATCCCAAGAGCGCTGGTTCGCCTTGGCCCACTCGATCATGTAGGGCTCCCTCATGATCTCCCACACCCTCACCAGGGTCGGGAGGAGGCCGATGGCACGATCGACCGCTACGCTCTTCGGGATCAGGAAGAAAATGACCGCGGCTGCATGCAGCGGCCAGACGAGCGCGCGCTCCACCTCCCTCAGGATCTGCAGGAGCGTCCAGTGCGCTGCGTCCGAAGCCCCCTGCAGCATGGCGGGGTGCCAGCGGTCCACTCCTTGTGCTGTCTTTTTCTTGAAGGTGCGCGCCACTTTCTTTAACTTGGCCAAGTCGTCCTCTGTGAACTCTGGCAACTCCTGACGCGGCTCCGTCTCCCACCGCCGCTCCTGCTCCTGCATCGGGTCGTTCACCTTCCAGACTGCGTTCCACTCCCCCAGGGCCGCTTCCGCTGCCCGCAACGGGTCTGCCGAAGCTCGGGGTGTACTCGCTCTCCTCGGCCTCCAAATGTCCACTGGTTTGCTGATTCTGTGGAGTCCGCCCGCTGCTCCTTTCGCAGCCTCCTCCAGCTTTTCAGCCCACTGCCTCCTTCTTTCATTTACCAGGGCCTGGTCCTCCCGCTTGGACCGCTCCTTGGCCTCCAGGATCATCGCGTCCAGGCTGGCTTTCTGGTCAGCACCTCGCCAGCGCCCTTTCGCCAGCAGGGTACACCTTTCTTTCCACCGCTCCTTCTCCTCGCCGACCAGCTCACACCTGAACTCGTGGCTCACGCTCCTGAGGCGTTCCTCCAGATCACTAGCTATCATGCCCCACTCCTGGCGCGCACGGGCACTGCCCGAAGACGACCTGAGCCTCTCGTAGTTCCCCGCCAGGGTCTGCAAAGTGCGCGCGAGCCATCGCCACCACAGAGCGTCTCCTTGCGGGGCTGGGTGGTTGCCGCCTCCTCTGAGGATCGCTCTCTCTTTCCAGCGCGGTGGGCCCGCACGCCCTGCGCACTCATGCCTGGGGTGCCACTCCAGCCCCCGCGCCGCGAAAGCCTCGCGCTCCAGCTTGCCAATGAAGGAAGCCCAGGTCCTGGTCGCCACCGTCACGTCGCTGAAAACCCCCACCTCGTCGTATAGGGGCGGCTCAGGCGCGCACCCGATGCTGATTCCTTCCAACTTCTTCGGCGTGATGAGAATCCGCTCCTTCCTCTCCTGCGGCCTCAGGTCGAGCGTGATCCCCACCGGCTTGTGCGGCGCCGAAGGCCAAGACTCGTGGATGGCCACCTTCCTCACTTGGCCTGCCAACTCCCTCGATACTACGAAATAGTCTATTGTGGAACATCCACTCGCAGACCGACAGGTTCCGCTCGCGGCAGAGGGGGCCACCAGCGTCGCGCCAATGAGCTTGATCGAATCCAAACCCGCCAGGACGGCAGGGGCATTCTGGAAGTCCCCGCACAACACCCACGGCATGTTGAGCTCGTGCAGCTTCCCCAACACGTGGTCCATCAGCCCCCTGTTCCGCCGCGACATCTGCTCGGCCGTCCACAGGTACACCGTCGCCACCACGATGCCGCCTCTACCTACTGCTACCCATGCCGCTGCAGCTCTTCCTGGGGATCCTCTGGGGGACCAATCCCAGCTGGTCTGCCCACACACGTACGCCATGCCAATCCTGTTCGGCACAGCGATTCCCACTCCTGCAGAGGTTCCTGGCTCACCCATGGGGCCCAGCGTGGGCACCGCCTCCGCTCCACCAACTTGGTAGCCACTCTGACGCAAACTGTGGGTAACTCCAGCCCACTGGTCCTCTTTCAGGCGGTGCTCCTGGAAGGCGTAGATGTGCTTCTGCTGCCCCACCTTCTTCTCCAAGAGCTTCTCTCTGATGGTTCCCCATCCCGAGCCGTTGAAAGTCCACACAATGACCACCTGCTTGTCGTCATTCGCCTTGTCAACCAGGAGCCTCATCATGCGGCGGTCGTGCAGGACCCTCGCGTATCCTCGCCACTGGCCCGAGTCTGCCCCCTGACTCCTCGCCGTCGCCGCAGGCACGAAGCCGCGCAACGGCCCCGCGGGCGTGGACCTGGCCACACTTCCCGCCCTCAAGACACCGTGCTCACTCCTCGCCAATGCCGCAGGCCGTGGGCCGCGCACAGGCCCCGCGGGCGTGGACCTGGCCACACTTCCCGCCCTCTGGCTGGCTCCCGCTGCTCCGCGCCCGCCACGCTCATCATCCATCTGCACTACGTCACGTCGGTGCCCTTCACTCTCGCTCCCCCCGAACTCCGCCTCCCACCCCTCAGGGTTCCAGCGGCTGTCGTCCCAAGGGAGGGTCCTCCCGCTCTGGCGCAGCTGCACCTGGACCGCGCCTCTCCACGGCGACTCGGGGTATCCGAGGTGGGTCCCATTGAGCACCAGGAACAAGAGGTCGCACGGCAAGCTACCCTTTCCGCTGCCTCTTGGCCAACTGGCAGGAGTGCACCGACATGAGCACCTCTTGGTACCGCTTGAACAAGTGCGGGTTCTCCTCCTGGTCGGGCACTGGCTCCTGCCCGTTGATCCACTTACGTTCAGTCTCGGTGACACCTGGTGGCAACTCCTCAGCCCCCGCGATGTCTCCCATGGATTCGTCTTCTGGTCCGCCCCCGTCGTCAGCCTGACCAGGCTGCTTAGCAGCACCAGTATCAGCAGCCTCAGCCTTTGCTGCCCCTTCCTTAGCCTTGGCCTCCAGGAGGGACTCGAGCGTGGCGAAATTGAGGCCGAGGGACTGGATGTCACTGCCGACGGACTTGGCGATGCACTCCAACTGCACTCGGATGACGTCGAGGTTCGAGGCTGGGGCCGCTGGGCCCGCCACCGCAATCTTCCCCTGGAGCTCCAGGATCGTGGTCGCCAGCTCCTCCTTGCGCTTCGCAGCCTCATCCCTCTCCTTCTTGACCTCGAGCAGCATCTGGTTGGCCTTCCTCTCGGTCTCGGCCAAGCGCTCAAGCTGCTTGTCGATCTGCCCCAGCTGGACCTGTGCCTCTCGCAGCTGTCCAGACAACGGCTTCGCCTGCGTGCGCTCCGCCTTGGCGTCCTGGATCTGCCTGTCGATGTCGGCCACCGCCTGGTCGAGGTGAGGCGCGTCACCCCCCCAGTCCTTGGCGCACTGGACCAGGACCTTCCTGCGTTCCTCCAGCTTTTGCAAAGCCGTAGGCGCCTTGGCCTCCGCGGCCGCACGCCAAGGCCTGGCCGCCACCGGTGGGAAGGAGGTGCGGAACCACTGCCCCACCTCAGGCGTGGTAGTGACCTTGCCCTTGCCTTTGTACCCAGGGCGACCCGCGCCACAGGCACGGCAGGACGTACGCGTACTCCAGTTCGCACCTGTACCGCATGTCCCGCACGTCCATGAGTCACTCGGGCCCGCCCCCACCCAGGACGAGCCACCGCCTTTGCCTCCGACAGTCCACACCAGAGACGGCTTCTGCTTTTTGTTGCGCCGACCGCCGCCCTTGACCTCCCAGTCGTTCTCGCCGCCCGCCATCGGTGCGCCCCACGCGCCGACACGAGCCCACAAGGGCACTGGAGGTTGCTGCAGCGGCAGCTCTCGTGAATGCACGGAGGCTGAAAGCCCCCCGAGCACACCATCTTGAGCCAAAATGGCTACGGCAAAAGGCCCCAAGAGGCTCCAAGAGGCCCCCAAGAGGCCCCACGAGGAGCCCGAACGACTCACACCAGGACGAGGGGCCCGAACGACTCACACCACGAAGAGCCCGAACGACTCACACCACAACGAGGGGCCCGAACGACTCACACCCGGACGAGGCGCCCGAACGACTCACACCACGAGGAGCCCGAACGACTCACACCACGACGCGGGCCCCGAACGACTCACACCACGAGGAGCCCGAACGAGTCACACCAGGAGGAGGGGCCCGAACGACTCACACCAGGATGAGGGGCCCGAACAACTCACACCACGAGAAGCCCGAACGACTCACACCAGGACGAAGAGCCCGAACGACTCACACCACGAAGAGCCCGAACGACTCACACCAGGAAGAAGGGCCCGAACGACTCACACCAGGACGAGAAACCCCAAACGACTCAAATCACGAGGAGCGCATTCTCTCCCTCCTCCTCCGCCTCGTCCTTCTCCCGCTCCCCCCACAAGGAGGATGTACAAGGAGGCGGGAGGAAGGAGGAACAGGGGAGATATGCGGGGCCAAGCGGACACACGCCTGACAAACACGACTGTCGGCATGCTTCGCAAGAGTTGCTGCTGTGAGATGGGCTGGTGGGGATACGCGAAGCGTAAAGAATTCCAACGCAACGGCGCTATTCTTCAGCAGCTGCAAGCAAGTCTCCAGCGAGAGCGCGACTCCAGAACGCAGGAGAAACGATGCCTGAATAAATCGTAAGGAAGTCCCGAGCGAGAGCACGATTCTTGAATAAAATGCGAGGAAGCCTCGGACGGGAGCGGGGGTCCTGGCTAAATTGTGAGGAAGTCTCAGGCGGGAGCCGTTGTTGTTGTAACCCGGTTGCCACGGGGCCAGTTTGAGCAGGAAGACTTTCATTGACAAAAACAAGGTGCGAGCCCCAGGGGGGGCACTTCAATTGAAAAAACATCAATGTGCACCGGTGGGGGGGATCAACAATAATTCGACTTCAAGAATGAGAGTTCAACAACAACAACAACAACACCACCAACACCAACAACAACAATAACAACAACAACAATAACAACAACAACAACAACAACAACAACAACAACAACGACAACAACAACAACAACAGCAGCAACAACAGCAACAGCAACAGCAACAGCAACAGCAACAGCAACAGCAACAACAACAACAACACCACCAACAACAACAACAACAACACCAACACCAACACCAACACCAACAACAACAACAACAGCAACAACAACGACAACAACAACAATAACAATAACAATAACAACAACACAACCGGTTGACATCCTCTGTGAAAAAAAACAATGCGCGGAGAGGGCGGGACATCTTCCGGGCAGAGTCAGGGGAGAAGGGAGGGTAGTACTCATACTGTTAAACAGCTCAAGAGTGGTAGAGAAGGGGGGAGGGAGGGAAGCGGGGGAGGAGAGGGGGAGGGGAGGTGCGAGCGGGATCGGGGCGCGTGGAGGGGGAGAGGGGGAGAGATGGAAGAGAGGGGGGAAGGAGGGGTGAAAGGGAAAGAGAGAAGGGGAGGCACGCAGGGAGGGGGGAGGGGCAGGCGGAGGCGACGAGGAAGCAGCCCCCATGCTGGCCCTCCTGCGTGGTGGCGTCCGCCGACGCCGCGGCCACGACGAGGGGCGTGCTCAGAGGCGAGGCGTAGCCCGCCTCCGCTCGGGGCAGGCAGCAGGCAGATGCCACTGTCTCTCCTGGTCCTCGTCCTCCTCCTCCTCCTCCTCCGCTTCCTCCTCCTCCTCCTCCTCCTGCTCCTCCTCCTCCTCCTCCCCTCCTCTTGGTTCTCCTCCTCCTCCTCCTGTTCCTCCTCCTCCTCCTTCTCCTCCTCCGTCTCTTCCTCCTCCTCCTCCTCCTCCTCCTCCTCCTCCTCCTCCCCTCCTCTTCTTCTTGTTCTTCTTCCTCCTCCTCCTCCTCCGCCTCGTCGTCCTCGTCCTCCTCCTCCTCCTTGACCTTGCAGGCAATTCACTCCTGTCACACCCCGAGGCTGGTCGAGAGGGAGGGATGGGCGATTGCCTGAGACGTCCTCACCATGTATGTGCCTGAAGCTTAAAGGGTAGCAGCGGCGTGACATATGGATGGCGGGTGATTTTCAATATGTGGCTCTCGCCTTAGCGCCGCGCACATTCTTTTCACAAAAGCGGATGCCTGGATTTCACGGAGTGAGGGCGGGTGGTTTTCAACATGCGGCTCCAGCCTTTGCGCCGCGCATATTCTTTTCAAGAAATTGCAAGAATGTCACGGCTTCAGGGCGGGTGGCTTTCAAAATAAGGTTCTCGCGTTCGCCCCGCGCACATCAGTCTTAGAACACTGCAAGAGCTTCACGAATTGAGGGCGGGTGGTTTTCAAAATGTGGCTCTCGCCTTAGCGTCGCGCACACTCGTCGAACAACATGTAGGAGCTTCACGGATTGAGGGCGAGTGGTTTTCAAAATGTGGTTCTCGCCTCAGCGCGGCGCACGTTCGTTTTAAACATGTGCCAGAGTTTCACGGATTGAGGGCGGGTGCTCTTCAAAATGTGGCTATCGCCTCAGAGCCGCGCACATTTGTTTTAAACAAACTGCGAGAGCTTCATGGATTGAGGGTGGCTCATTTTCCAAAAGTGTCTCTCGCCTTAGCGCCGCGCACATTCGTTTTACACATTCGCCAGAGTTTCACGGATTCCCGTGGTTAGCCTGATTACCAGAAGCTGTGTTTTGGAACGATCCGGGATTTTCAAGGCGCAACAGTTTCGCTGATTCGCGGTGTTGAACTCCCAGTAATGGCGTTCTGGCACGATTCAAGATCGCCAACACGTACCAGTCAGTCTAACTCGTGGCGTTGAAGTCCTCATAATGGCGTTGTGGCACGATTCAAGATATTCGAACGGTTGTCCTCCTACGGGGCTATCCCTGTGGGAATGAACTCTTGTAGGGGCCAATGAAGAGGGAGCTTAGAGGGAGGGTGTATTCTAACATTGTTGATGAGTATTGAATGTGCACTGGTCCTTCTCCTCCTCCTCCTCCTCCTCATCTCTGTCCTCCACCTCCTCCTTCTCCTCCTCCTCCTCCTTCTCCTCCTTCTCCTCCTCCTCCTCCTCCTCCTCATCATCATCATCATCATCATCATCATCATCATCATCATCATCATCATCATCATCCTCCCCGCGTGGTGACATCGTAGCTCCCAACGGCCTCACCGCGCGGCCCGCCACCGTGAGGCCCTGGGGGCCCCCATCGCCGTGGACGTCCGCGAAGAACGACCCCGAGCCCCAAAAGCGGGCGGTGGCCCCGAGTCCCCAGCCTCGCCATCGCTCGGGCGCCCGTTCCCCGTGCATGCCTCGACCTCGTGCGCGCACTCTCCGCGGGAGGGTCCGAGATGCTCCTCGAGGGTCGTCGCCGACAGCAAAGGCACGCGTCCGAGCGATGCTCCTCCTCCTCCTCCTCCTCCTCCTCCTCCTCCTCCTCCTCCTCCTCCTCCTCCTCCTCCTCCTCCTCAGGCACCGACTCACCACACCGCTCAGGGCCCCCCACCAGTGTGGTCACCGCACGTGGGCGCCCGAGCTGTCCGGGGCAGCTCGGGCCCAGGGTAACTCGGGTCTGGATCCCCGAGAAACGAACCCGGCTCAGCCCTGACCCGAGTCACCCCTGATGACTTGGGGCCCTGGACGCCAGGATCGTCCGAGGCAACTCGGGCCTGGGGCAACTCGGGCTTGATAGCCTTAAGTCGGGCGTGTCCCCCTACAGGGGTATTTTCGGCGAAAACCCAAAAAATGCTCACAAATTGTCAAAAATAGTTGAAAATTAAAAAATAGTCCCCAAACTATGTTTGATTATTTTTGAATATTCCCCCTGCAGAGGGACAGGCCCGACTTGAACTTAGCCCTGACCCGAGCTGCCCCCGATGACTCGGGGCTCTGCCGACACACCGCCGGGGGGGCACCCGCGGGCAGGGCGACGGAGGCAGGAGCGGTCGGAGCGAGGGTCGCGGCAGCGAGCCGCCGTCGGGCGTGCACTAGGGGGGGGCGATAGATTTAAGGGGGGCCTGTCTCTCTACAGGGGGAATATCCCAAAATAGTCCAAAAATAGTCTGGGGACTATTTCCCAACCCTCCTGCGTTGGGTTCTAGTTTTGAATACAGCACTGCTCGCGCGTCTCCTTCCTCACTTCCTTCCTTCCTTCCTTCCCGCCCCCCCCCCGTCCCTCTCTTCCCCCCTGCCTTCGCTCGTCGCTGCGTGCCAGCTGGGGGGCTGCGATTTGTGAAACTATCGCCACTTTCGGACCTGCTGGGGGGCCCAGCACAGTGGGTACCCACCGCGGAATAAAATGGTGCGTCGCCATCCCTGGGGGGCTGCGATCTGTGAAACTGTCGCCACTTTCGAACCTGCTGGGGGGCCCAACGCAGTGGGTACCCACCGCACAGTCAAATGGGACCTCGACACCCCTGGGGGGCTGCGATCTGTGAAACTGTCGCCATTTTCGAGGCCTGCTGGGGGGCCCAGCACAGTGTGCACTCGCGGCGGATTCAAATGGAACCTCGCCATCCCTGGGGGGGTGCGATCTGTGAAACTCTCGCCACTTTCGAGGCCTGCTGGGGGGCCCAGCACAGTGTGCACTCGCGGCGGATTCAAATGGGACCTCGCCATCCCTGGGGGCTGCGATCTGTGATGCTGTCGCCACTTTCGAGGGCTGCTGGGGGGCCCAGCACGGTGTGCACTCGCGGCGGATTCAAATGGGACCTCGCCATCCCTGGGGGGCTGCGATCTGTGAAACTCTCGCCACGTTCGAGGGCTCCTGGGGGGCCCAGCACACTGTGCACCCGCGGCGGATTCAAATGAGACCTCGCCACCCCTGGGGGGCTGCGATCTGTGAAACTCTCGCCACTTTCGAGGCCTGCTGGGGGGGGCCCAGCACCAGTGTGCACTCGCGGCGGATTCAAATGGGACCTCGCCATCCCTGGGGGACTGCGATCTGTGAAACTGTCGCCACTTTCGAGGGCTGCTGGGGGGCCCAGCACAGTGTGCACTCGCGGCGGATTCAAATGGGACCTCGCCATCCCTGGGGGGGTGCGATCTGTGAAACAGTCGCCACTTTCGAGGGCTCCTGGGGGGCCCAGCACAGTGTGCACTCGCGGCGGGTTCAACTGGGACCTCGCCATCCTTGGGGGGCTGCGATCTGTGAAACTGTCGCCACTTTCGAGGGCTGCTGGGGAGCCCAGCACAGTGTGCACTCGCGGCGGATTCAATAGGGACCTCGCCATCCATGGGGGGCTGCGATCTGCGAAACAATTGCCACTTTCGAGGGCTCCTGGGGGGCCCAGCACACTGTGCACCCGCGGCGGGTTCAAATGGGACCTCGCCATCCCTGGGGGGCTGCGATCTGTGAAACTCTCGCCACTTTCGAGGCCTGCTGGGGGGCCCAGCACAGTGCGCACCCGCGGCGGATTCAAATGGGACCTCGCCATCCCTGGGGGGCTGCGATCTGTGAAACTGTCGCCACTTTCGAGGGCTGCTGGGGGGCCCAGCACAGTGGGCACCCACGGCGGATTCAAATGGGACCTCGCCATCCCTGGGGGGGCTGCGATCTGTGAAACTGTCGCCCCTTTCTGGGGGGCTGCGATCTGTGAAACTGTCGCCACTTTCGAGGCCTGCTGGGGGGCCCAGCACAGTGGGTTTCCCGCACGTTTTTCTCCTGCTCTTCGTTCCCGACTCCCCATGTCCTCTTCGAGCCTGTAGTTGTCGCCCCTCGTTCTTGCGCATCATTCCATTGGCGCGTGTCCCAAGTAGCTTTCATATCAAACAACGGATCCTGCAATTCGATTGTCCGTGCAAGTTCCGGCCAACTCCTCGTTTCCCATGATACAAATTTGTTGGGTACGTCACAGGGTAATTTGTCAGTATTTAAACATATGTTTTAAATACTTCTTTGATATTTATGATTTTTCGTCCAGAATCCCCCTGTAGGGGGACAGGCCCGACCCAACGATGGATGGGGGGCAAGGAAAGGTGCACCCTTCGCGCACCGTTCGCCTCCCTTCGGGGCCCCAGGGGGCTCGCTGAGGGCCCTTTTGGGGCCCCCGTTCGTGCAACCCTCGACGCCCACCCCCCCATTTGTCGCCCCCCCAATTTAGGAGACCGATTTCTGACCACACCCACTTCCCGAGGTGCCTTGCGAAAAGCGGTTTCCAGAGGTGGAGGTGGGCAGTTTCCCCGCCCCAGGGGAAGGAAAAACTACCCACTTCCACCCCCGAGGGCCTATCGTAGAATCGAGGATCCAGAGGTGGGTGTGGTCAGAAACCGGTCTTCGACAATTACCGAACGCCCGACGCTCGGCGGGTGCGGCAGCGCCGGCGGCGGCGGCAGGAGCGGGCGGAGGAGCGGGATCACGAGGAGCAGCCCTCCTCCTCCTCCTCCTCCTCCTCCTCCTCCTCCTCCTCCTCCTCCTCCTCCTCCTCCTCCTCCTCCTCCTCCTCAGTATCGACTGGTTCGGGACATTTTGGAATTCGGAGCCTACATAGGAGTCCTGGGCCGTGACACTATCGACACTGAGCAGGGCTCGAGTCCGACGGACTCGAACCCCCCCGACCCCCCCTTGGACCTCCTGGACCTTCCTGGGAACCTGGGGGCGGTCGTGGGCGAGGAGGGCGGGGCCCTGGTGGCCCCTGAGTTCCCTGCCCCGC